ATATATATAAAATAGTATTTCTAGTCAAAACAAGCCAAACAAGAACGAAAAAAAATTTGTTCTTGTTGTTCGTGTTCGGCTCATTAACTTAGCGAACGGACCGAACACGAGCTTCTTGACGAGCCGAACAAGAGCTGTTCGCAAACAATAAGCCGTTTTGACTATCCTAGACGTGGGATTCCCAAATGAAAGTAGAAAGCGAGGATTCCGCAAAATGGAGCAAGAAAAGCTCAAAGTTTTATGTTTGCATACATTCTCTAACAAGATGAAAATTCGTAATCTCTATAAAAAGAAAGTTGGGGTATTTACATACAAATCATTTAATTTTTTTGTATTTATATATCAAGTATTTAATTTTTTTTATATATTTATATCACATAAATCTTTCCGTATCAAGTCAAACGATCATATTTTAAATAAAAAAAAAAAGTGAAATACACATTGTTGAATTTAAGCAAGGTGGTGAGGATGTAGGAATTGAAGTTTAGGCGTTGGATATGTAAATACATGGGAATTGAGAGATATATATGTAAATCTTCCTATAAAGTAATGAGCTCTAATAGCATAGTTAATGATTTAACATTTAACTTCAAAGAAGTTGTCGAACTTCATGTTAATCTACCAACAAAGCTTGGATGACATAAAACCAATACTTTCAAGAGTCAGGGTGAGAGAAAGAGAGAAAAAACATGTATAAAAGTTTTCTTATTAGGAGTAAAAATTTATAATCAACATGATAACTAAACTCTAATGAGAATAAAAATACAGTAAGATTGGGAGAGATTTCATATTTATTATTTATTCGATAAGAATACTTTGAAACTCACTGAAGGCAGTTCAAATAATTCAAAAACAAAAAAAAAGGATTCTTATGTATACCTAAAAATGGCATGCACGAATCTCAAAGGAGACTTACATACTAAATTAAATACTAATGTTTGACCGGAGGATTGAAGGCAGACCAGGCGACCTAAGGTCGACCCATCAAGGACCCTCTTGGCCGACCAAAAGTGGACAATCATGTATGACGGAAAATACAAAGACATGTTGCTCTTTAGTCTACCAGCCGGAACCCAACCTTCTGGCCAGCCAGCCACCTTAGTCGGTAGTCAGCAAATGACCGGCCGACCATGTATGGTCGTTTGTCAGCAAAGAATGGGCTGGCCATCTATGGTTGGCCATCGTCTTTCGGGCAGCCATCCTAAGCCGACCACCTAGGACTAACTTGCTGACCATCCTTGGTTGGCCACCCAACTCCATTTGATGTCAACGTTCAAACCCAAACGACTTCCAAAGTCGCCCAACATCCAGGCAAAATGGCTAACCGAAGGAAGAATTCGCCGGGCAAGGAATCCAGATACATCAAAATATGCTAAAAAAATATTCCAAAATATAAAAAAGACAATAATATCATATAATCCCCTCATTAAAGTAGGGGTGACATCTATCTTCTATAAATAGGGGGTCCAATGTGTATAAGGACGCATATTGGGCTTTGAATCTCGACACATATTCTAAGGGGAGTTTTTCTCCCTCTCATCTCTGTAATCTTTCCTTTTATATATAAGATGGGTCATAAAACCCGAGAATACCTCAATTCATCCCTGCGGGGCAAGTTTAAGTGTGATTTTTCTCTCCCTACTTCTCTCTCTCTCTCTCTCCTTTGATTCCTACCGCTCCTATCTTTGGGCATGCCTCACAGAACAAATTTGAATTCAACATTTTAAAAAAGTTTCATTTCTTAAATAAGAAGCCAAAAATGAAGCTCTTAAAGGAATATTAGAATACACAATAATTACAAGATTCAACTTTACTAACAGCTAGCTTAAGAAGAGATGTCAATTAATATATACTTGTCTTGAAAAACAATGGATTCTACTGGCTAAATAAATTAATTTTGCATTATCTAGTGATCATCATCTTACATTAGTATCTTTGGGAAACACATTATTAATTCTTTATGTTAAGTTCTTAATACCACCTCAGTACAAAATTCCCATCCTCAAGTGTTATAGTCATTATGCATAATGATTCTATTCAATTAAGAAAGTGATAATCAACTCTTGTGATGGAAAAAAAATGGTGGTTATAAAAATCTCCACTTAGTCTTATGGGCTAAGATTATCCATTTCTTAATTGTTGACACAATGGCATCACTCAACAATCTCTATTTAAAAATGCACCATCAATTTTTCAACAAGATCACTATGAACAACAAGAAAGTCACTAATGAGGTTGAGAATAAAGAAGCTTTGATATTTTGGCTAAAAAAAAAGCATAAGAACGCATAGAATCTTTATTGATTAAAATAGTTGATCTCCCCTCTTTCATTTCCTATGAATCTAAATGCATGAGATATATAAAGATAAAAAAAAAAAACCAATTAAGCTATTCAATGATCATTTTTCCTTGAGTCACAAAGGCCTATATTATGGTCGAAGTAGCAATTACTTATAAAGTAAGGGTGAAAATGTAAATAGGGTGATAATATTATGTTTAAATGAGGATTAAAAGGATTAAGAAGTGGAGAATCATTATTCATATATGAGCCGCCAAGTGATAGGTTTATGTATGTGAAATATCAATAATATCATGCAAAACCTGCTTTAAAGTCGAGACAAAAATGTAACATCATCATATATTCTCTCCGCGATAAAAAAATGGAGATTATTTTATGAATAAAAAAGGATGAAAAGAGCTGACACGATTGATAACTATTTATCACACACTCTCTCTCTGCTCTCATGATATATTTCTCGGCGTGTGATTCACGGACATATCATAATTTAATGTCTAAATAAGCTGCCTGGTGAACATTTTTCCTAGAGCCACACGAAACTATATTATGGTCAAAGTAACTATTAAAAAGGTAGCAATTACTTAATAAGTCTCAAGTGTATCATGGGTTCCAGTTAGGGGTGTAAACGAGCCGAACAGGAGCCAGCCAGGGCTCAGCTCGTGTTCGGCTCATTGAAAAATACTATTGTTCGTGTTTGACTTGTTTATATTTCGAACACAAAAAAATTGTTTGTGTTCGGCTTGTATGTTTAACGAGCAGAACACGAGCTGTTCACGAACAAAAAATAATTTTGACAACACTAGTCATGCATGCAACCGTTAGGGGTGTAAACAAGCCGAGCTTGAGCAGTTCAGACTCAGCTTGTTAAAAAAATCTCATTGTTTGTGTTCCGCTTGTTTATATATCGTGCTCATTTGCTTATCAAGCCGAACACGAGCTATTCCCAAACAATGAGCTATTCTAACAATCCTAATTACACAACCGTAAGATGTTAAGAGTAGGGCGAGATTTAAATCATACTATTTATATTAAAGCATTCAATTAAAAAGAATTTCACATATTTTTAATTAGTAATTTTAAATAATTATAAATCTTTGTGGCGTTGTAGTCAATTAAACTATTTAAAAATAAAACTC